GTTTTCATTTTTCAGGGAATTTCTTGTTTGGGGGCATCCCCTAGGGCCGTGAGTACATTGTGGGGAGTCTTTATTAGTCAGTGAGCCCCCTTTGGGGAGAGGGATCACTTGTCGTGAGTAAAATTGTGAGAGTCCTTTTATTTTGTCCCAGTTTAGGTTTAAAATTTTTGAGGTAAACCCCTAGTCCGTCGAAATACATTGTTGGGGAGTCCCCTATTAGTCAAATGAGCTTTTTGGGGAGGTCATTTACTAGTCCGGGGAAAACTTTGGAAAAGTCTTCCCTTTTTTTCATTTAGTACATTGTGAGGGGTCCTTTACTAGTCCTGGGGGTACATTGTAAAGGTCTTTAATTTTTCAAAAATGAAGTACATTGTGAGGGGTCTTTTACTTGGCGTGAGAAAATTGTGAGAGTCCCAATAGTCCCGGTTTTATGGGGGTTTCATTGTGGGAAAAGTCATCACTATCCGGCGGGACCTTGTGGAAAAGGGGCCCTCTTTTTTTTAGTGAGTACATTGCGGAGTCCCTTTACTAGTTTTTTGAGAAATTTTGAGAGTTTTTCACTAGTTCCCCTGAGTACATTGTGGGAGTCAAAACACTAGGGCAGTGAGTTTAAATTTTTAAGGGGTTCCAAATTAGGGTCCGTTTTAAATACTTTTTGAGGGGTTTAAATTTTTAGTCCAGGGTTGGGGGTTCTTTTTGGGGAAATCATCAATAAATCAATGGGGTTTCATTGTTTAGGTCATTTTTAAATTGTCCGGGGAGTAAAATTGTTAAAAGTCACCAATTTGGGCCGGGGGTTTTTTTGGTGGGTTCCCTTATTTGTAAATGAGTACATTTTTGGGGGAGTCTTTATTTGTCAGGGGAAATACATTGTGAGAGTCATTTACCTTTGTCCCTGAAATACATTTTTAAGGGGGTCATCATTAGTCGTGAGCACCTTTTTGGGGGAGTCTTTACTAGTCCGGTGAAGTACCCTTTTTGTTAGGGGGCCAAAATTTTTTTTTAAAGGGGTACATTTGTGGGGTCATCACTTGTCCGTGGTTTTAAAATTTTTTCCCAGAGTTACACTAGTCCGGGAGTACTTGTGGGAGTCTTTTTTTTGGGCCGTGAAAATTCATTGGGGGGGATCATTTTTTTTGTCCCGTGAGTAATTTTTGAGGGGGTCTCATTGCAGTGAGTACCGGGGAGAGGGCATCCGGTTTTGGAGTACATTGTGGGAAAAAAGTCATCAATAGGGCCGTGAGACAATTTTAAAAAAGTCATCATTGTCCCGTGGAAATAATTGTTGGAAAAGGGCATCCTAGTCCGTGGTACCCTTGTAAGGAGTCTCAAATTTGTCCCGGGAGTTCTTTTTGAGGTTAAACCATTTGGGCCGTGGGAAGTACAAATTTTTGAGAGTCATCCTTTGTCCCTGAGTAAAATTTGGGGACGTCCCTCTTAGTCCGTTGGGGTTTCATTGTGAGGTTTATCATTTAGGCAAGTGGAAAACATTGTGAGAGTCATCAAATGTCCGTTTAGTACATTTGAGATTAATCATAGTTTTCCAATTGGGGGTTTATTGGTAAGAAATCATCAAGTCGTGAGAAAATTGGGAGAGGCTCACTTGTTTAAAAATGAAATACATTGTTTTGGGTCATCTTTTGTCAGTGAGTAATTTTGGGGGAGAGTCATCATTTTGGCAAGTTTAGTACATTGTGGGGGAGTTCCTTCCCCTTTTTTGTCGTGAGTATATTTTTGAGAGTCAAACTTTTTAGGTTTTAAAATTGAAAATCAAATTTTTTGAGAGTTTTTAACCCTTAGTCAGGTGAAAAAACTTTTTGGGGGAGTCATCATTAGTCAAAATGAGTACATTGTGGAGTTCCTTCATTTTTTCAGTGAAAACTTTGTGTTTTGGGGCTCATTAGTCGTGAAAAAATTTGGTTTGAAAAGGGGCAAAAAAAAATTAGTTTAGTTTTAGTACATTGTTTAGAGTCAACATTAGTCCCGTGAGCACATTTTTGGGGAGGTTTTATCAACCCAGGTTTAGTGGGTACATTGTTTAAAAAGTCAACCCTTAGGGCCCCCCGGTGGCAATTTTTGGGAAGTTTATCAAATAGTTTAAATGAGTTACATTGGGAAAGGGGTCATCCTTTTGTCAGGGGAAGGGAAAATTTTGAGAGTCAAACACTAGTAAATGAGTAATTGTAAGGTCAAAATTTTGTCCAGTAAACACATTGTGAGAGTCATCACTAGGGCAGTGAGTTAATGGGTTTTAAGAAGATAATTTTTTAGTCGTGGGGGTACATTGTGGAAATTTTTCATTAGTCAGTGAGTACATTGTAAGGTTCCCTCATTAAATCAGTGGCACATTGTGAGAGTCTTTTCCCTTTTGTCAGTAAATACATTGTGGGGGTTTATATTAGTCAGTGAGTACATTGGGAAGAGTCAAGTTTGTCAGTGAATACATTTGTGAGTCCCTTTTTTTAGGGCCCGTGAAGGGGGTTTACATTGTGAGGTCATCCCTTAGTAGTGGTACCCTTGTGGAAAAGTTTTTCACTATTTCCCTGATACTTTGGGGAGGGGGGCCTTTATTAGTTTAGTGAGTACATTGTGGAGGTCCAATTTATTAAGGCAGTGAAATACTTTTTGGGCATTCACTGTCATGGGGGTTTTTTGTTGAGAAATCATCAATAGTCAGTGGAAATTTCATTGTTTAGGGTCCTCAAATTTGTCCGTGGTACATTGTGAGGGGGTTTCACCCAGGGGAAATGAGTTTTTTCTGAGAGGCAACATTTGTCAGTGAGTACATTGTTTTAAAATTTTTAAACCCCTAGCGTCATTTGGGACATTTGGTTTGGGAGTCATCACTAGTCGTGAGTACAAATTGGGGGGGAGTCATCAATGTCCGTGAGTAATTTTGGGAGTCATCATAGTCAGTGAGTACATTGTGAGAAATCATCACTAGTCAGTTTTGGCCCTTGTGAGAGTCTCATTAGTCCCTTTAGGGAATTTTTAAGCGGCATTAGTCGTGAGCCCTTTGGGAGAGTTTTATCACCGGTCCGTGGGTACATTTTTGGAGAGTCATCACTGTCAAAGGGGGACATTGTATGAGTTTAAAAATTTGTCAGTGAGTAATTTTGAGAGTAATATTAGTCAGTGGGGTTCCCTTGTGAGAGTCATTTATTAGTCAGTGAGTTTCATTGTAAGAGTCATCATTTGTCAAGTTTAGCCCCATTGTGCGAGGGATCACTAGTCGTGGTACATTGTGAGGTTATACTGTCATGGAGGACATTTTTAAAAGTATTTATTAGTCAGTGAGTTCATTGTGAGTCATCACTAGTCGTGAGTACCCTTTTTGAAAAGTATCCCCTAGTTTAATGAGTACAAATTTTGGGGAGTTTATCATTTTTGTCCGTGAAATAAATTGTAAGGCTCTTTATTAGTCAGTGAGTACATTGTGGGGGGTAAACATTAAAAGTTGAGTACATTGTTGGGGGTCATCACTAGTCAGTGAGTAAAATTGTGGGGTCATCACTAGTCAGTGAGTACATTTTGGGGTCATCACTAGTCAGTGAGTCATTTTGAGAAATCATCAAGTTTAGTGGTAAAATTGTGGCCATTCACTTTGTTTAGTGAGTACATTGTGAGATCATAAATAGGGCAGTGGAAATTCATTGTGAGTCATCCCCTAGTAAATGGGCGGGAAAAATTGTGAGTCATCACTAGTCGTGAGCATTGGAGAGTTTTTTTAAAACTCGGGGGTTCATTTTTGAGTCTTTAAAGTCAGTGAATTTTTTTTTTTTTTTTACATTGTGGGGGGCATCCTAGTCATGGAAACATTTTGAGATCACTTTAGTCGTTTAGTACATTGTGATTTATCCCCTAGTCAGGAGGACATTTTTGGGGTATCACTAGGCAGGAGTAATTGTGAAATCTCACTAGTCAGTTTAGTAAAAATTTGGAAGAGTCAAACCTAGGGCGGGAGTACATTGTTTTGGGTCATCCCTTTGTCAGTGAGTTACATTTTTTTGGGTCATCACTAGTAAATGGGTAATTTTTGGAGTCCCCTCCCTAGTCGTGGGGTAACCCCTTTTTTTAGGCATCAATTGTCAGTGAAATTTTCATTGGGGAGTATCATAGTCAGGAGTTTCATTGTGAGAGTAATTTCCACAGTCAGTGAGGTTTTCTTTTTGAGAGTCATCCTAGGGCCCGTGGGTAATTTTGAGAGTCAACATTGTTAAAATGGGTTTTTTTGAGGTTATCACTAGTTAGTGGGTTTCATTGTGAGAGTTTATTCACTAGTCGTGAGTAAATTTTGAGGGTCATCCTTGTCTTTTTGGGACATTGTGAGGGGCTTTAATAGTCAGTGAGACATTTGGTTTTTTGTGAGTACATTGTCATCAACACCCCGTGGGACATTTGTGAGGTTTAAACACTAGTAAAATGAGTACATGTGGTCCAATAGTCAGGGTACTTTGTGAGGGAAAACACCTTTAGGGGAAAGTGAGTACATTTATGTGAATTTTTTGGGGTATCACTAGTTTAAATGAAATACCGCCTTTTTGGAGTCACAACCAAATTAAATTTGGGGAATTTGAAGTCATCATAGGGAGTGGGTTTCTTTTGGGGTCAAACAATAGCAAATGAGTACTTGTGAATTTATCGCCGGGCAGTGGGGGATATTATGAGAGTTTATCCTAAATTAGTGGGGAAAATTTTTGAGAGTCATCACTGTCATTTAGTTCATTTGAGAGTCATCGCTAAATCAGTGGGTAATTTGAGGGGGTTTTTCACTGTTAGTGGGACTTTTTGGAGTCATCATTTGTCAGTGAGGACCTTGTGGGTCATCCTAGGGAAATGAGTACATTGTGAAGGGCATCCTAGGTTTTTGGGGACAATTTTGAGTTTTCCTTTGGGCAGTGAGTACATTGTGGGTCCCCCAAATTTGGGCAGTGAGTAAAAAGGGAGTTATCCTAGTTGTGCGTACAAATTTTGGGGGTTTCCCCCCCCTTTTGTGGTCAGTTTAGTACCAATTGTGGGTCAAACAACCAGTCAGTTGGAAATTGGTGGTCATCATAGTCAGTGAGTTCATTGGGGGTCATCCTAGTCTGGGGAGTTTTCATTTTTGGGGTCATTTACAGTCGTGAGTACATTGTGAGTCCATTTACTAGTCAGTTGGGACCCTTGTGGTCATTTACTAGTCAGGGTACATTGTTTAGTCATTTTCCCAGTCGTGGGTAAATTTTGAGGGCATCCCTTTGTCAGTGAGTAATTGTGGGGTCATCCTAGTCAGTGAGTAATTGTGGGGGCATCAAAAGTAGTGAGGGCATTGTGAGTCATCCTAGTCAGTGGTAAAATTTGTGGGGTCATAAAAAAATCAGTGAGTACATTGTGGGGGGTCATTTCCCAGTCAGTGAGTACATTTTTTAGATAATTTTCAGTTTTGGTTTTCTTGTAAATCTTTCCCTTTTCAGGGGGTACAAATTTTGGGGTCATCCAATGTTTTGTGAGTACAAATTTTGAAGTCATCACTAGTTAAATGAAATTACATTTTTAGTCTCACTAGTCGTGGTACATTGTAAATCTTCCTTTGGGCAGGAGTCATTTTTGGTCATCCCAAATCGTGAGTTAAAATTTTTGGGGTCATCCTAGTCGTGGTACATTTGTGGTTTATACTGTTTAGGTTTAGTTTCATTTTTGGTCATATTTTGTAGTGAGTTTAAATTTTGAGTTTATCACTTGTCAGTGGTTTTTCATTGTGGGGTTTTTCGCTAGTCGTGAGTTAAAATTGTGGGGGCCTTTATAGTCAGTGAAACATTGTGAGTCATCCCTGTTGGGGGTACATTGTTGATTCCCAAATTTTTTTCACCCAGTCGTGAGTAAAATTGTGGGAGTCATCCTAGTCAGGGGAGTAAAATTGTGGTCATCTTGTCGGGGAGTACATTGTGGGGGTCTATTGCTTAGTTTCCCCCGGGGGGAAGGGTTTTCATTTTGGAGTTCCTAGTCAGTGAGTACTTTTTGAGTCTTTGTAGTCGTGGAGTAAAAATTTTTTGGGGGGTTATAAATAGGGCAGTGAGTACATTTTGGTCATCCTAGTCGGGGAGTTCTTTGTGGGGAGTCAACATAGTCAGTGAGTTTTAAAAAGTGAGGGCTTTCCCAGTAAATGAGTACTTTGTGAGGAGTCTCACTAGTCAGTGAGTAATTGTGGGGCATCCTTTGTTTAGTGAGTTTAAATTTTGGGAGGTATCAATTAAGGGGCAGTGGTTTTCATTGTGAGTCATCATAGTCAGTGAGGACAAATTTTGGGTCATCATTTGTCAGTGAGTACAATTTTGGGTATCAATAGGGCAGTGATTCTTTTTGAGGTCTCACTAGTCGGGGGTTTTAAAATTTTGGGTTTTTCACTAGTTTAGTGAGTACATTTTGGGGGTAAACACTAGCAGTGAATACATTGTAAATTTCGTAGTCATTTTAGTACATTTTGAGCCCTTTTAGGTTTGTAGGAGTAAAAATTGTGGGGTTTATCACTAGTCAGTGGTACTTGTTTAAAAGTCATCATGGGCAGTGATTAAAAATTGTGAGGATCCCATAGTCAGTGGTACATTTTGGGTTTATCAAGTCGTGAGTACATTGTGAGGTTTATCGATTGTCAGTGAGTACTTTTTAGCCAAACCTTTGTTAAATGAGTACATTGTGGGTCTCATTAGTCAGTTTAGTACATTGTGGGGTCCCTCCTGGGCGGGGAAGGGACATTGTGGGTCAAAAAACCCAGTTTGTGGGTTTAAAAATTTTGGGGGTCATCCTAGTTTAGTGAGTACCCTTGTGAGTCATCCGCCCGTCATTTAAAAGTACCATTGTGGGGGAAAACTAGTCAAAAATGAATACATTGTGGGCTCCCTTGTCAGTGAGTACCCTTGTGGGGGGGGTCAAAACGGGGGTTTTTGAATTTAGTGGTTACATTGTGGGTCATCCTAGGGAGTGGTACCCTGTTTAGTCATCCCCTAAATCAGGTGAGTAAGTACATTTTGGGGTTTTTAGTTTATCGCTAGGGCATTTTAAGTACATTTTGGGGGTTTTATCATAGTCGGTGGTTTTAAAATTTTGGGTCATCGCTAGTAGTTTTGGGACATTGTGGGTTTTTCAAAGGTTTAGTGAGTAAATTGTGAATCCCTCCTAGTTTAGTGAAATACATTTTGTGAGCATCCCTAGTCGTGTGTCATTTGGGTCTTTACTAGTCGTTGAGTACATTGTGAGGCATCGTAGTCTTGAAATTTCTTTGTGGGTCATTTTGTAGTCAAAGTTTTTGAACATTTGGGAGTGAGGTACATTGTGGGTTCCTTTACTAGTCAGGGGAGAAAATTTTTAGTCAACGGGTAGTCAATGGTTCATTTGGGGGGGCATCCTAGTTCGTGAGATACAAAATTTTGGGTCATCTAGTCAGGAAATTCCATTGTGAGTCATCGCCCCAGTAAGTGGAGTAATTGTGGGTCATTAAATAGGTTTGTGAGTACATTGTGGGTCACCTAGTCATTTAGAAAATTGTGGGTCTCACTAGTTTAGTTGGGGTTTCTTGTGGGTCAAACAATAGTAAATGAGTACATTGTGGGGAAACACCCAGTCAGTGAGTACCCTTGTGGTCATCCTAGCGTGAACAAATTTGTTTAGTCTTTCTAATATGGGTTAAATTTGGGAACTTGCTTTTCTGGTTTCATTTACTATTCAATTAGTTAAAAATTTTAAAAAAAAAATAATCAATTTAATAATTTTTAAAAATAATAATTAATAATTAATATTAATAAGGAAATTAAAAAAAAAATTTTTTAATATTTTTTTTATTTTTTAAATTTGGGGATTATTATTATAAATTTTTCTTTTCTATTATTATTTTCCAAATTTTTTTCTTGCCCCCTTCCTTTTTTTTTACGTTTAAAATTAAAAAAGGGCTTGTTTTTCCGGGTTAATTCCCCCTTTTCCAATGATTAAACCTAAATTCCTTATAAAATAAATTTTTTAAAATTTAAAATAATTTTAATAATTAAAAAAAATAATAAAAAATATAATAATAATTTTTATTATTATTATTTATTATTATTATTTATTATTATTATTATTTTTATTACTATTATTATTATCCATCTCTTTCTTCCGCTCACCTTCATTTTATTGTACATAATGCTAATATCAAGAGCAAGTGATGGGATCCAGGACTCACTTCCTGCTCTTCCCTCACAGACCTGAAGAAAGCGCTGAAGCGACTCTTCACTAACAAGTTGTGGGTTGGGAACCTCTTCAACACGGTTGTCATCATCCTGGCACTCTCTGGTTACTGGAACTTCAAACCCAAGTACCTGGAAAACCAGTTCCGTAAAAGTGCCACTGAAGCCAATTATTACACAGGTAAGGCACAGGTGAAGTTAGCTTGAAGTACGAAGCGAGAAAATATTATATTTTGGATATAAAAATCTGAAATATAAGTTTATTGGTTGATATATATTGGTTGGTCTTAGAGTCTGAAATTTCGAGAAGGTAATTCCAGAAGCAAACTGTGGATTTTAATGTATTTATTAGACACAGACACACACAAAGCACTAACAAAAGCCTGTGTGTGTGGCAGGAATGGCCAGTTTCGCCTCAGTGGTGCTGGGAACTGGTATAGGTGGAGCCATCCTCAGATGGGTGAGACCACGACCACAGTTCGTGGCAGGTTACAATATTTTCGTCACCCTCTTCCTCACCGCTGGTTTCATCGTCCTCATGTTTATTGGCTGCCCGAAACTCACTATGGTTGGACCAGTTGATGGGTAAGTAACGTTCTTAGACCTGTGGATGGGTGAGAAAGTAACGTATATTAGACCAGTGGATGGGTGAGGAAGTAACGTATCTTAGACCAGTGGATGGGTGAGGAAGTAACGTATCTTAGACCTGTGGATGGGTGAGGAAGTAACGTATCTTAGACCTGTGGATGGGTGAGGAAGTCATTTATTTGCACCACCATAATTCTTTTAGAGAGTCTTATAACTATGACTGTCCATTATTACTGTTCATGAAGACTTCCTGCGTTTTACGTGTCTTTATAAAAGCTTTTCCAGTTGTAAACCAAAAACGCATAATTTACAGCTTTTATGCCTTTATTATTGTTCGTGCAGTTCGTGAGTGTTGAATACGGAGACACACGAAATCGTAATGACACGATTGCAAACAAACCATAGGATGGAGACGCAGCCAAGTACAGTATTTTCTTCACACGGATTTTTGAGGTATGGTTCAGAAATGGCCGGCACCTGAGTGTACCTCTCAGTGCTCTGAGTGGCTCTGACCTCTGTGTTCACTTACAGGTGGTCGGCGCCTGAGTGTTCCTTTGAGTGCGGGTGCTCTGAGAGGTTCTCACCCGTGTGGCCACAGGATCTGGCCCCCGTGTTCTACTCTCCCTGCTACGCTGGCTGCCTCACTGCCAACACCTCCGTCAGCCCCATGGTAAATCCTCATTTTCTCTCTCTCTCTCTTCTCTCTCTCTCTCTATTATATATTATTTATTTTAAAAATTATATATATATATAAAATTTTAATATTATTATATATATATATATATTTTTATAATATAATTATATTATAATTTATATATATAATATATATATTTTTATATATATTATATAATATATATATATGCAAGGAATTCGCAAGAGCAGGCGAAATTACACAAACACTGTTTCTTGTTTTTTCGCCTGCTCTGCAATTTCCCTTGCTTTGTTAAAATCTTAGTAAGTCGTGCATGCAGGGGTGAGATGAAAGTGTAAGCCTTCTCCTAAAGTGGCTCCCTTGGATCAAACGTGAAAACGCAAGTACACCCCAAAGGTATTGTCCAGTGGGGGTTTTAAGTTTGGGTTTAAAAGCACTGCGTACCTTCCCCCAAAGGTTTCGTGGTTCGAGTCTCTTCAGCCAGAGTCAATGTTTGTGTGTAAAAGGGTTTAAAGGGTTTAAGGATCCAAGTTTATTGAATCTTTTACAGGTTAAGGATTCCTAATTTATGGAAAGAAAGAGCTTTTCCCTAATCGTCTTAAAAGCATTTTTATTGTTATGAGACATACAAGTGGAAAACAGGATGAAGTTGGAGCCATTGTGGGCCAGCTTTTTATTTTTTCAATGATTTTTCGTTGACATCATTATGCTGTACGAATGTTTTCCCTTACTCTAGTCATCCGGGGTAGTATGATCTCGAGGGAGTGATTTTTGGGAAAGGGGCACCCAGGAGAAGTTGTGCTTTTCCCGTCTTGGGGAAAAAAATTTTTTCACGCTGTCCCGAAGGGATCCCAAGTTGGTTTTTTGAAATATTGGCTTGACATCAGTAAGGCCCCCCACATCCCCCCATTTTGAAGGCTTGCTAAAATGACAGTCAAAGGGATGGGCCCAGCGAGAGATGAGAGTTTGCTCTGTTCTCTACTTTTTCAAGCAGGGGCGATGAGAGGGGGGGGCAGGAACCAAGAAAGTGGAGCATACTCAAGGTGAGCGTATTGTGCCTCGAAAGGTTTGAAACCCCCTTTCGCAAGCAGATGCGGATGGCGAGTGCTGTAAGTTTCCCTGGTGCTTGTTTTGCAAGTTTACAAATGGTTCTTAGGGTTTGTTGGAGTAAAATTCCCCAAAGGATATCAACTTCTTCCCCAGGTGTAACATCCTCCCTTTCATCCTTACTATGCACCAGTTCCACATGGTGCCTAGAGACGATCATCATTTGCGTTTTCTCAGGTGAAAAGTTACTTGCATCTTTTCCCCCAAGTGATATCCTTGCTGGTGATTGATGTAGCTTAGAGCAGTGGCTTTTCTTCTCTTGGAAAAGGAATGTCAGTGTACGTCGTTGATATGATGTGATTCTGGGTGAGAGAAAAAGGTCGTTGAAGAGCTTCCCATAAAAAGGGACCGCACGCTTCCTTGTGGAACATTCCCCCAATAGGATGTCTTGCTGATTCCGTCCTTGGAATACACTTAGAGATCTCCTGAAGGAGTCACTGAGGAGACATGCGTAGAGCCTGCAATTCCCAGGTTTGAAGATTTGAAAGAGGCCCTGGTCACCCCCGGTCGAAAAGACCAGAAATGTCAGGTACACCGTGCTTTGGATTATCCAGTGAGGGGGCCCCCTTAGGGAGGGTTTAACAACGATCGCAGCGAGAAAACCTTTCCTAAGCCATATTGACGACCCAAAAAGTGTGGTGGTAGTAAAAAAACCTGTCATTTGTCTTGAGTTTTGTCTCAAGGATCTTCCCGTGATTGACAGGGTGACACGGGTCTGTGTTGTGATTTTGCTTGCTCTTCTTTTGTGAAAGGGATCCATTCGCCTTTTCCATGAGGGGCCTTTTTTACACTGTACTAGGCGTGCTGAAAGATGCGGTTAAGGGGTGCTATAGCTGATCTGCACATTTTCTAAACAATTTTGGGGCTCAACTTGTCGGGCCACACCCTTTTCTTGGTCGCGATTTAAGTGGAAAATGCCCCTCCCCCTCCCTTATTGTCCCATTACAGTTTTGACACGTTCTTGCGTACCCAAGGAGGGTCCCTGCTGGATCAGGAACTTGCTTTTTGGGTGCTTTTCAGCAAAGAGGTCCCCCTTCTCTTGATTTGTAGGGTGGCCCCATCCGTCGTTTTTAAAGGTGGAATAAGTTATCAGGCAGCCCCTTGCTGCCCTTGCCAGGGACCCCCAGGTTTTGGACCCCTACCCCCCTGTGCTCTTTTTTTAGTGTCACCTCCCATTTAGCAATCCCCCACTTTTGAACATCCCCCATATCCCCAAAGGGCTTGCATGTGGAATTTCCTGTTTGGTGGTAGGATTTTTTACCCTTTGCCAGCTTTTTACTTAGCAGTGCAGCTCTCTACAAGAAAACCCCCAAGGTGATCTGTAGGCTTTGTCACATATTGGGGTGGGAATGGTTCTTGTGATTAAGGGTGTGTCCCGTGAAGGCTTTACTTTGGGTTTTCAACATCCCCTTGGAGAGAGCATTCCGTCGGTGGGGGGCGAGCTCAGAGCAAAGGGTGGCCAATTACTCTTTTCCTAGCCAGGTTGTGCGTTTTTGGACCTCCCTCGTTCTGTTTTGGGTTTAAATGTCGTAAAAACAGCCTTGTGGTCGGGCGATCCAACTAGCGAGGGGTTGAAAGTGCTTTGCCTTTGCCAGATTCATACGGGTCAAGGGGGAGCCAGAGTTGAGTAGGGGGAAACAAAAAAGTTTCTCATGTCAAAACCCCTGCAAGAAGGTCAAAATCCCCCCTGTTATAGGTGTGGTTTAGGTCACCCCAATTATAATATGTTTTAAGTTGTGTTTAGCAGAAAGGGGGTCAATATTTTTCCTTAGGAATTGATAGGGTTATGTTGCCACTGAGGTCTGTATTTTCACATGCTATTTAAAAGGTACTAGTGGTTTTTTCAGAGCTTGAAGAAATCATTTCAAAATGTGTAGGGGTGACAGCATCAATGTGTGGGCATGAAAATTTAGAGAAGCACACAGCAAACCCTCCTCCCTTTCCCTTTCCTGTCTCTTTTCTCCCTGAGGTGTAGCCCGCAATTCTTGCAAATTTTCTGGAGTTCTGTCATCAAAAATGTTTTAACAAAAGTATCATGTCGGGACGTTAGTGTTCACAAAAATATGTGTGAGTCTCAACATTGTAATGAAACCCCTAATGTTGGCCCACGGATGTGATTTGACGGCTCCCCTGATGAAGTGGTCAGCTTTAGGTGGTGGGTGTGTAGGGAATGTAAGGTGCCCGCCCTTGAGAGAAGTAGGGGTTCTGAGGCAGCTGAGGGGTTAGGTCTTGGTTTGTATAAGGCCAATCCCCCGGCTGGGGTGGGGTAGGGTGCTAAGGGGGTGACGTGTGAGGGTTCACCCCCTTCGAGACCCGCTGGGTTTTTTTTTGAGAAAGGGCCCCTAAACAGGTGGCCCCGTCTGTAAGTTCCTTTTTTTTTCCCAATGGTCCCCCTTATGTCCTTTCTTTTAGCATTTAAATTTAAACCCGTATCCGCAGGGAGTTGTTGGCAGTGTGCCCCCTTCCCGGGGACAGCGAGAGCACAGCCCGGGGTGGGAGGGTGGCTAGGATTTGTTCACTCCGAGTTTTTCAGATTTGTCCCGAACTGCCGCTGGAACTGTGTTAGTGGGGGTGAGACGGCTGTAGTGTCTTCCTCCTCCACGTCCCCTCCCGTCCCCTGCCCGCCTCTACGTTTGAAGATGGTCCCCGCTGTTTGTCTTCGGGCAGGGGTGATCAGGTGCAGTGTGTTCCCCCGTCATTAACTGCACTTCTTGGTGGGAAAACTTGGCCGCTTGCTGACGAAAACACTGTACCAGATTCTAGAATGTATCGGAGGTGTGTGACAGGTGTAGGGTCAGGATGGTATGTGCACGTCAAGAGACTGGAGTGCTGAAGCAGAGATGTCAGGTGTAGGAGAATTAAAGCCAGGCTTCCCCCGTTACTGGAAGGGGGTTTGTTCCCCCTTGGGGGGGTCAGAGGAAATTTTGTTAGGGTTCCCCAAAGGGAGTTTTGAAATCTGTCAGTTTGGACTTAGCGATGACAGAATTCCAACCGGTTTTTTTCCCCGAGAAAACTCAGTGTGGGACTTTCCCGTCTTTGTCAAAAGTTGGGGCACCTCAGCTGAGCGCTTATGTCACTGATGCAGGCTTGACTGGCCTTCTACAATGCTTGTGGTTATCTAAAGATTTTAGGGGTCTGAAGTGCTTTTTTTTTGTGACGGATTATCTTAGCTGGGAAAATTTTCAACACAGCCCCGAGGGCAGTCTTGATCTTTGGACAGGAGTCCCGAGGTAGCCTTTTTAAACCCTTTCCCCCTGTAGCTCCAGGGTTTTATCCCATTACCACAGGGCTTGGATTCCTTAAATTTTTTTGAAATTTTCAAAACCCGGGCAACAAAATTTTTTTTGGAATGCAATCTGTGTGGCAGAGTTGGGAAAAAGTAGGTCCTTACATTAGAAAAATTTTGTCCCTTTTGGTATACCCCCAAAATGCAGTATTACTGGGAAATAGCCAGATAGCGTAGATATTTTTGCTATTTTGCTGTGTGAAGTCTCCCCGAGGAGGTTGTAGGTTTTTAAGTTCACGGAGAAGGGGGAAGGGGGGGGTGGTGATGTCGTGGGGGGGGTGGGTGTCGTGGGTGGGGTTTTGTAATTTTTTCTTTTTTTTTTTTTTTTTTTTTTTTTTTTTTTTTTTTCTTTTTTTTTTTTTGTTGGTTTTTGGGGTGGTTCTGTTGGTTTTTTTGGGGGTTTCTTTTAAAATTTAAAATAATTTCTTTTTATACTGTTTGGGGGATAGTGGGGGCCCCTTGGAAATAAGTGGGGGATTGAGGGGGTGTTTTTAAAAAGATTTTTTGACAATTGTTTGTTTTTAATTTTTTTTTTTTTGCTTTAATTTTTCCCCCCGGGGGTTTTTTGGGTTTTGGTTAAAGGGAAAGAATTTGATTTTTTTTTTTGGGGGTTTTGTGCCCTTTCTCTCTCTCTCTCTCTCTCTCTCTCTCTCTTTTCTCTCTCTCTCTCTTCTCTCTCTCTCTCTCTCTCTCTCTCCTCTCTCTCTGCTCTGGTCGGGGCTCGCAACAGCTGTCTTTTCCCAGCGTTGTGCGGGCCCCTTAACGAAACAAGTGGTGTGAAGAATAATGTTTTTGACCCACTAGTAGTTGGGGGCCATAGTGGCCCGGCCCCCTTGGACCACTAAGCTGGGGGCCTTTAAAGCCAGGGATGTTCCCTTTTAAACAAAAAGCATTTATTTGGGGGCAACGTCTCGCTTTGTTTGACCTTTCTAAAGACATGATTTGTTAAAGCACTTCCAGAGCGGCATGACTTGATGAAGTCTTCACAGAGCGAGACTGACTTGAAAAAGCATTTCACAGAGCGAGACATGACTTGATAAAGCATTTCACGAGCGAGAATGACTGATGAAGCTCTTCACAGAGCGGAATGATTGATAAAGCACTTAAAGAGCGAGACATGACTTGATAAAGTCTTCACAGAGCGGACTGCTTGATAAAGCACTTCAAGAGCA